GTTTTTTAAAATTAAGTTGTTAAAGTATGATTTAAGCACCATATGTACTTTATACTAAGTTGTATGGGTTAGCATTCGCGCTACTACATCCGTAAATTTAAAATATTCATAGAGACTCTTCCACATGATTGTCATAAAATTGCAAAAAACTTTCTTAGAAAACTATGAAAAGAGTTCTCCATAAACACTCTCGCTAGATGTTCAACCGAAGCCATCAGATATTGAATCGAAATTCTATTAAATAGTTCTTTTTACAGTTCAATAAGGAATTCTATTATCTGCAAGTAAATCAGAATCGTCGAAGTTATAGAACAACTCATTCTATATCGTCTATGTGAATACTCAATCAGTATCAGTTTATTTGGCTGAAATTACCAATTACAATTCAGGTAAAAATTATTTTCTTGTATAAGACTATACATGCGCCTATGCTTTTACGTCTTATTTTTACTCACCCCCTCAACTTGGGAAAATAAATATGAAAATTGCAAGCGGTATATATCGATGTCATCATGTTGGACTTTTTACTGAAATTGGAAAATTGTTAAAAATAAAGTCCTCAGCATTCTAAGAATAAATGAGTTTACTTTTCTCTGTCGATCTATATCTGCATATTTGTCTTTAACTGTTTACTCAGAATCGCTATGTATGTATATGTAACAGGGGAGATTGAAATCCAGGGCTATTTAAAATAGCCCTTAGGGGAAATTGAAATTTTAATCTCGCCTAGGGGAAATTAAAATTTTATCTTTTCCGGTTCAATTTATGAGAAAAGATGAAGATTTTTATTTCAAAAAGTTCCGCATTCGCACCCACACCAACACCCGCATTATATTTTTAAAGTTCCATTATATCAGTGTTTTTCAAAGAGCTGAATTCGTACAAAAGACACGTTTTTTATTTGTGGGTATAAATGTATCCTAGTGTGAGTGTGGGTGCGAATGTAGAACTTTTTGAAATAAAAATCTTCATCTTTTCTCATAAATTGAACCGGAAAAAGATAAAATTTCAATTTCCCCTAAGGGCTATTTTAAATAGCCCTGGATTTCAATCTCCCCTGTAACATATATACCAGTGTTCAATCCATGATCTACCTTAGTCATTCTAGGAATCTGAATTGTAACTAGTTCAAACTTGAGTAGAAACAAAAATTATAAATAAAACATAGTTTTGGTTCTAAAAGTGATTTTAGATTCAGGAAATTGAATTCAAGAGCTTCAACAAATTGATGCCATTTACTTCTGTAGCAACCAGTTCGAAAGTTAGAGTACGATTGACACGGTTAGCCTGAATTTTAGATTGAACACTAATATATATATATATATGGTTCACTCTCAAGGATTTAATATGATTCAAATAAAGATATACAATCAAAAAGTCAAATTTACGATAACGTTCCAGAAAAAAAGTTCAAGAAAAGATGCTAGATTCTCACAATTATTTCTGCTCTGTTACATCCAAGGGGGAAAAGGCGGATTCAGGATTCCCAGGATTCCCGTGGGATTCTGGGAATCCGGGAATCCCTGGAATCCCATGAATTCTCGAAATTTTTTATAATAGCAAATGACATTCCAGAAATTCATATTTAACCTCTACTATCCTCACTCTAGTCCTGAAAATCTGATAAAACTCAGTGTCGAGGCTTCATTGCTTTATCAAATGGCTTGAAAAGCTGCACACAACTATTGAGGAAAATCATTTCCTAAGCGATCGTTTTTTTTCATATGCTTGACCTGTTCAGATATCAAGATTTGTCCAAAGCACATGACACTCTTGCTCCAAATGCTCATGTATTTCATGCGCATACCCCAAGATAGTTCACTAGGGTTATCTATTTTAAAATTCTAGGCACTTAACCTAATTAGATGGGTATCAAGTCCATTTTGACAACACGACAGTTTACTTTCTTATTTTTAAGAGAAAATATTCGAGGTAGAATAACAAACAGCAGCAAGCAATAAGATAAACCAATGAGATACAAGAAATATGTTGAATCAAATGAATCTATGGCATCTTATATGTAAACTTCTATTCATTCCGTAATCTGACAGTTGAACATACTTAAAGCAATCAGGTAGCAGCACAGCCTTTCTGTCTACTAAAAGATAAGAGGCTCTATCTATGACTGTATTGTTTTTGGCATTAATTTTGGCACAAAAGAAAAATAGTTTGAAAGTGAAGAAAAAAATTGGTTCGGAGACTCTTATTGTATGAAATTGAGATTTATCGCTAGTTGACACAGAAGACGAATTATAAATTTTGTCTTAGGATCAGCTATATTTCTCTGATTTGGATATAAAAAAGCAACATTAGATTTCAAATACTAGTTAGACTCTTGATCCAATGAGTTGTAATGATTTTCGTCAGATTAGACAATACGGTTTTTTTTTCACACTAAATTCATATAATTGATCTACTTTGTTTTATCACAGATTCTCTTGTTTTCTTCTAAACAAAATTAAAATCAAATCTGGAAAGAAGATTATAGGCTTGATATAAACTTGACAAATAATTTTTTTTAATTATCACAAAGGAGAAGATCATGAGATCATTTTGAAGCTGATTGTTTCGAAAGCATCTTTTTCTTATCTTGTGTGACATTTTTGAAAACTTTAATGAGAATTTCAACGAACTGCATTTGGATAGGAACAAAACAGATTCTACATGCACTAGAATGCCTGAACTTCGCCCGAATATTCAAGATCTTCATCGAGTTCCGGATATCTATCCTTTTTGTTTTCTAGCTGTCTGCTTGTTTCTCGAAGATTCAATTATTGGTTCTAAGCTAGCTGTGAATTGTGAAAGTCAAGGGATATTTATTCTGCCACAGAGGAAAAATAGTCCACTCATCACTAAGTTCAGAAAAATTTTTTCATAAGATATGCATGAATACTAGAGACAAAAAAGCTCTTGTTTTATTTCCTTTGTCCGTGAAAGGGCACTAGAAATCAAAGTAATATCGATCAGAACTAACCCGTTACATTTTCTCATTAATCATGTCTATTTTATTAAACGAGTCGGGTAATGAACTAATATAAGCTCATCGGTTAGTATATTTTTCCAATCATTTGGTAAAAAGTCAATAGATTATTTACCTGTTTTTTTTTTGTACTAATATTCACGGATAAATCATTATTGATCAGTCCAGGAAGAATATTGTTGATCACAGAACTACGGCTTACTAAGTATTGGATAAAATGACAAGACCGCAAGTTCGTCTTCGGAGCTAGTCCCTTAGTTAAATGACAACTATATATGTTCTGTCGAATTTAAAGTTGTAGTCCGATTCATGCTTCTATGAATCAATATGAGCGTTATTGTACAAAATGTTTGAGATCTCTCATCTAATTGAACTGTATAAATAATCATACTAGATGTCACAATTTAGATCACATTATTTCATTAGAAATCAGTAGCTTCTATACCCCAGAACGTTCAGTTTACGATATCGATGAGGGCGATGATCTACGTCTTTTTTCCATCCCCACGAAACATTCACATCCACACCCTTATTTTCCATACCACTACGTGGTTCTCTTAAAGGAACGGGTTTCAAAATATTAAATGAACGAAGTGATATTTGTTATGCATGAGCATGAGTTATGATTTCAGTATTGTTCAGACATCTAATTTAAGTATTCCTTGGATATTCACTGGATTCCCTGGATTTCTATTTGATTTCAGGATTCCCATGGGATTCGGAATCCCGAGAACCTGCCAATCCCCCCTTGAGTTGCATCATAATTGAAAGAGTTCGATTTTTTTCTTAGATTGCATTCTACATATCAATTGCTTTTATTATTTATATGTATTAACTAGAATACTTCAATAATACGCCGTGTAGATGTAGACACGACTTTTTCAGAACTTTTTCGCATAGGATTGCATTATAATTTGTCTCGGCTGAATATACCCATGTCACCAAAATCACGACGATTTTCACGACATGGGCAGGCGTCTAACTAAATTTTTTAAGCATGATTATTATATATATCATTTTGTTTTATTTATGCAACGTAGATAATACATGCAATTTAAAATATCAAGAGCATAAACCAGATTCTTGTCATAAATCAACATGTTACAACTTGTTCTCTTCGGTGATGAGAATTACAAATTTCAGAAGAATTTGTATTATACTTTTTATGGCAGGAAGTCCTTGTTTCACAACGACTAATTTATCTGTATAATCTATTTCGTTCAATTGCTTCAATTGATTCCTCCAGAATATAAATTATATTTTCTGGATTCCAGGGATTCTCATGGGATTCTCATGGGATTCCCTGGATTCTCATGGGATTCCTGGGATTCTCATGGGATTCCCGGGATTCTCATGGGATTCGGAATCCATGGAATCCGCCTTTTCCCCCTTGGTTACATCTCTATTTGTTGAATAAATAGAGCATTTGAGCACTGATGAACCTCTCATTCTTATCATTATAGAAGGGATTGTTTGTCATATTTTGATGCCTGTAATTTTTCAACAACTTTATGTCACGCAATCTTCAATTTGATTAATGGATTGTTAGACATTCTAATTTTATTAAGACTTTGAAATTAGTTGTAGAACCTTATTTAACATAAGTAATTTTCTATTGATTATCTAGGGTTCATTGTGGTACTTGTTGCTAATTCAGAATAAGTTATTTGACGAGTTACGACTGTTAAATGTTACTTCAAAGAATAATGTATGTACTTCTGTAGTAGTTGATATTGCACTCTTACTTTCCCTTCGATTTATGCAAATGCAGGTTTTGTTTTGAAAAGAATGATACTTGGCTACTGATTTTATGGACATGTCTACTATGCAGAAGCACTGTTAATGGTTTACCAAGGAACAACGGTATGTTTTGTATAGGCACATAGCATTTACTTTATCATGCATATTACTGACTGTTCTAATAGATAATTTAGATGTGTTACATATAGAAAGCGAGGTTCAAGCAACTAATATACTCAGAGGAACATCTGATTTCAATTTTTCAGACCCTAATGCGAACATGATAGCAATCGAAACCACCAACACAGAGGAAACAACTGAAGTCACTGATACAGAAGGAACAATCGGAACCACCAACACAGAGGAAACAACTGAAGTCACTGATACAGAAGGAACAATCGGAACCAACTACACAGAAGGAATAATCGGAACCACCTACACAAAAGGAGTAATCGGAACCACCGATACTAAGGGAACAATCGAAACCACATACACAGAAAGAACAATCGAAACCACCGATACTAAGGGAACAATCAAAACCACCGAAAAAGAGGTAATAACCGAAACCACCAACACAGAGGAAACAACCGAAGTCACTGATACAGAAGGAACAATCGGAACCAACTACACAGAAGGAATAATCGGAACCACCTACACAGAAGGAGTAATCGGAACCACCGATACTAAGGGAACAATCGAAACCACATACACAGAAAGAACAATCGAAACCACCAAAACAAAAGGAACAAACAAAAACACCGAAACAAAAGGAACANAATAACCGAAACCACCAACACAGAGGAAACAACCGAAGTCACTGATACCGAAGGAACAATCGGAACCACCGATACTAAGTCAACAATCAAAAACACCGAAAAAGATGAAATAACCGAAACCACCAACACAGAGGAAACAACCGGAACCACTGATACAGAGGGAACAACGGAACCGACAGTAATAACAGTAACAGGAGAAACATCGAGATTAACTGCAGTGTCAACAGAAACATCAAGATTAACGGCAGTGTCAGCAGAAACAACTGAAGCAGAAACATCAACAGTAACAAATGGCACGACTGTAGCAATAACAGTATCTACAGAATCAACAAGAAAAACTGAAGAAACAACANCGACAGTAATAACAGTAACAGGAGAAACATCGAGATTAACTGCAGTGTCAACAGAAACATCAAGATTAACGGCAGTGTCAGCAGAAACAACTGAAGCAGAAACATCAACAGTAACAAATGGCACGACTGTAGCAATAACAGTAACAGGAGAAACATCAAGATTAACGGCAGTGTCAGCGGAAACAACTGAAGCAGAAACATCAACAGTAACAAATGGCACGACTGTAGCAATAGCAGTATCGACAGTGTTAGCAAGAACGACTGAAGCAGAGACATCAACAGTAAGAAATGGCACGACTGTAGCAATAGCAGTATCGACAGCATCAACAAATATACCTGTAGCAACAACAATATCATATACATCTACAGCAACACCGACAGCGTCGACATCTACAGCAGCACCGACAGCGTCGACATCTACAGCAACACGGACAGCGTCGACATCTACAGCAACACCGACAGCGTCAACATCAACAATCCTGACAACAACGTCATATGAGAAACCGCCTGAGACAAATAATAATAATGACCTTCAACAGGAGAATTTACGTTTGAAGTTAGGGTTAGGCACTGGCTTGGGGCTTGGTGTGTTGGCAACAACTTCACTGGCAGTTGGATTATATATTCATTATAATAGAGGGTACGAGTAGATTTACCTTAGAATTTATAGGCATTTTAAACATTCTTTCCATTAGTGTATCCGGAGAACAGAAAAATAACATAGGAAAGAACAATAATAGTCAAATTTCACCAAAGAACCCACCAGTGTTTCCCTCTCCTGTACCTTCTTCATTATCAGCAATATCATTTATTTCTATTGATGAGTTAACAAAACTTGAAAAATCCGATCCGGTGCAAAGTGCTCCTATAGTACCATGTATAATTACTGATCAAACATCAAGCAGAAGTGATGAAACTTTTATCGAAGTATATATTGAAGAAGATCAAGTGATACCCATCGACGATATTGATGGAGAAACACATCGAATACTAAATTCAATGGCTTCAAACGTAAATGACCACATGAAAAGTGATTTTGGCAAAAAACGATATCGACGAATGAATTCAAAGTCACCTACTATTCAGTCTACAACACCAGCATCGACTAAACGTAAATTATTCAACAGTAAGTTGTCCAATTATTTGATAATCTCCTATAATCATATTCTATCGAAAGCCTTGGCTCATGGATTCACTTTTAGTGGTTTCAAGAATATTCTGCATTATTAAAGTTTATCACAGAGAGCTTTATAGTGACGCGATATGAATTATATGGTAGATTTCATTCAATAGTATAGATAGAGAATAGTTCAATGGGTTGATATTTCGAGACTTTTCCATATTTCCATTTAGCTGTACCGACAGTGTGAGAATAAATACACACAATGATACGGGTCTTCTATTACTTCCTTGCTTTATCAGGTAACATTAGCTTTCGCTAAAATTTTTCTTTTGAATCGATTCGCTAACAAATAAATTTCCAGCAAAATATTGACTTTTAAGGAATTTTCAGCCCTAAATTCAGTTTGTTTCATATGTTTATAGTATATAATCGGTATTTTACAAAATGGTCTGGGTCATCATAGTGACAGAGAAGTTTTTAGCCAACAGAGGCGAATATTATCCAGACAGTTTGCAAAGGTTCTCGGACGTGCGTGCAGACGGTTACCAATAGTGGAAATACAAAATCTACCATTCGTAGTGACTTCCAAGATTACTTAACTAGACTCGTATGTAAACGCTCAAAAAATGTAAAGTTGAAGTGCATTTTCTGGAATCTTTGTTTCTCTGAACAGTAGTCATCGACGATTTTTGGAAATTTCATGTAAAAAGACATTCGGAAAATGGTTTGAACTTCTGACAAAGTAATGTATACATGATGAAAATCCTAGAATAGCAATAATGCTATGAAAAGTATGAAAATCTAATACAATCCAGCAAAACAAAAAAAGAATGTTAATTCTTAAAAGCGACAATGTATGCAATTGAACTGGAGATCTTCGGAAGAAAAATTGCTGAAAATATCTGAATTTGATCGTCTACAAGTGAAATCCCGTATTTTATCATTTTCCCTTGTGAGAAACGATAGATTTTTCAATAGTATTCTTAAGTCCATTTATGTATAAATTGAAAGTTAGAAGTCTCAACTATCGCTAGAAAAAAAATTTGCTCATTAATTTAAAATCCAATAGAGATACTCAAATTTTAGATTTTCTTCTGAGGCTACTCGAAGTACAAACCATAATACTCCACGTTCATTGTTGCCCCTGTCTTTTCTAGACGATGCAAACCACGACTTGGCTATTGTATCCCAGGAAAATCAACAAGTGTACGCATCAAGCAATACCGATCCGGTGACGATCAAACCTGGTATTTGTGAGAACGTTATTCATGAATCACGAGTTACTCACTTCTGATATGGAACCGAATTTTTCAATATGAACCATCGTAGTTTTTTTTTGGATAACTAGTTAGTTAATTGACTTCGAATACTTGTACTTTCTATTCTGAATCGACAAATTGATGTATGTGGAGATTAAAATGAATAAAATCTATCAAAAAATGAGAGAGTAATTAGAGTGTATGCGTATGTGGATCAACGACAAACCACATTATTCCTTTGAATTCCTAGAGTTCTGTTAATATCGATTCGCTTACACGGGGGAATTCTGCACCTGTGGTGAATTCTATTTTCTAAAAGGGCTTGATGTTTTCATATTTTTATTGCATTCCGAATTCTTGGATATGGTTGTGATCTAAGGGGTAAATGGACTTCTATACTTCTGAAGTGCCTAGAAGTGCCTAGAAGTACAGAGAAGTACAAAGAAGTACAGAAGTTCGCTCCCACCTTGAGTAACTATATATATACAACTTTGTATGTATAAAAATTCTCATTTTTTGTTGAATAACAGAAAAGTCTTTATGCTGTCGTCTTCTTGGTAGGATATGATTTGAAGATTCCCATAATCTCGATAAGGTGCTCAAGAATTAGCTTAACAACTGCAAATATAAAGTTGTTCATCAACCATCTGTAAAATAGCAAACAATGATTAGAAATCCGATGAGAAGTTTTACTGTACCCTCTGTCAAAAACAATCACCTACCATCCATCCTCTAATAATTAAAATCAAGTAAATTTTCAATCCTGTCTGATATTAAAAAAAGCCATTTTAAAATCATAATTATGTAACTATATATTTCTAATTACCTACTAGACGTTCATAACACTGAAAACAAAAACGTACCACACGAAACTTCAAAGTCTCCATAGAGGCAAGGTTTAGTAAAGACCCTTATTATTATTTCTTGAAAATAGGATTTGCCGTACGATTTTCTAAACACATTCGATACACTATTATTTCGTTTATTTATGTCTGTTTGAAGACCCATTCGAATCTTACCTTCTATCTCGTGTATATATTCTAACTATTTAGCTTTAGCAGTAACTTTTAAGAGTAATCTTTTTGTTATTCCCACAGCTCTCTCAACATTTATGTCTATATTTAACCTTCATTTTATACGTTGGAAAAAAATAGGCACCATAGTGAACCATTTTATTGCAACAATCTAAATCCTAAATAGGTTTCGTGACATTAAAGAAAAACATTTTGGATTTTTCGTAAGTACTTAACTCCATTATAGTTCAATAAGGCATCGTTTTTTCAATGTATATGTTGCAGGAGAAATTAAAATTCAGTAGAATTTAAAATTCTACTAGTAGAAATTAAAATTTTAATTTCTACTAGTATAACT